GTAACGGATGCAGCAGACCCCAAGCCTTATTCCTTGAAGGCTTGTTCCTCTGGCAGGTGACACAGGAGCCCACGTAGCGCTTACAATCCTTGGCCATGTCTGGCCACCAGAAGGAGCGTTGGAGAAGCTCCAGGGTCTTGACCGGGCCAAAATGTCCTGCCATCGGGTGGTCGTGGCAATGTCCCAAGACCAGGGTTCGGGCTTCCTCTGGCACCACAATCCGATCCTCTCTCCATAGGAGTCCCCCCTTGTTCTGGAGGGGCATCCCAACTGGGGTTGACATGGCTGTGGATGCTCCCATTATCCTGGAGCGAAGGTTCGTCTGGAGTGCCAAGAAGTTCCCTGCGGACAGAATAGTGTCGGGTACTGGGACCTCCTTGGCGTCATCGTACATGCGTGATAACATATCTGGTTTCGTGTTCTTTGATCCCGGCCTGTACGTGATATGAAAATGGAATCTTGAAAAGAACAATGCCCATCTCGCTTGTTGTGGGCGTAAATGTTTGGCGGTCCTCAGGTATTCCAGGTTTTTGTGGTCTGTGAATATCAGGATGGGGTGTGAGGCACCTTCCAGCAGGTATCTCCATTCCTCTAATGCTGTCTTGATAGCCAGTAATTCTCGATCGCCGATATCGTAATTTCTCTCTGCAGGGGTAAGTTTCCGTGAGAAAAATGCTACCGGGTGGAGCAATACCTTGGTGCCCTTTCGTTGGGATAGAATGGAACCAACCGCATTCTCTGACGCATCTACCTCTAGGATGTAGGGTAGGGAGGCGTCAGGGTGACCCAGAATGGGTGCCAAGGTGAATAACCTCTTTAATGCTTCAAAAGCTTCCTGTGCCTCTGGCGTCCATCTGAACCGGGTCCCAAGCTTGGTTAGCTGAGTGATGGGGGAGACCAGACCCGAGAAGTTTTTGATGAACTTCCGGTAGAAATTTGCGAACCCGATAAACCGTTGGACGCCTTTCCTGTCCGTGGGTTCAGGCCAATCCAGGATCACAGAGACTTTCTGAGGGTCCATTGCGACCCCCGCGGTGGAGATAATCAGGCCCAGAAATGTAATGCTGGACTGTTCAAAGCAACATTTATCTGCCTTAGCGTACAATCCATGCTGCCGCAACCGCCCCAACACCCTTGTTACATGTATCCTGTGCTCCCCCAGGGAAGATGAGAAAATCAAAATGTCGACTAAGTAGACGATAACAAAGATATCCAGGAAGTCCCTAAAAATGTTGTTTACGAAGTGGTGAAAGGTAGCCGGTGCATTGCACAACCCGAAAAACATGACCAGGTATTCAAAATGGCCAAAATGGGTGCGGAAGGCCGTTTTCCACTCATCCCCCTCCCTTATGCGAACCAAATTGTAGGCTCCCCTTAAATCCAGCTTGGTAAATACTACTGCAGCCTTTAAACTCTGGAATAATTCCGGTACCAATGGCAGTGGGTAATGATTTTTGATTGTGACCCTATTCAATTCTCGGTAGTCAATACACGGTCTCAAGGTCTTGTCCTTTTTTTCTACAAAAAAGATCCCTGCCCCTGCTGGAGAAGTGGAGGGGGCGGATGAACCCCTTCCGGAGGCTGTCCTCAATATATTCCTTCAGGGCCCCTAATTCGAGCTCAGAAAGGGGGAAAATTCGCCCAAAAGGAATCTCTGAACCAGGTAACAGGTCAACGGGACAGTCATACGGGCGGTGGGGGGTAGAGTATCTGCTCCCCGTTTACTGAACACATCAAGAAACTCATGATAGGCTGCAGGAATCACCTGTTTTAAGTTGGCATCCCCTTCAGAGCACAGGAGGACCTGGGGGACCTCCGGGCCCGAAGTGCGGCAAAGTTCCCGACAGTATGGGGAAGGGAATGAGATTACCCCAGTTTCCCAGTCAATTTGGGGGTTATGGGCCCGTAACCATGGGAGCCCCAGAATGACTGGGAAAAGGGGTGATGCGATAGCATCCAGGCGGAGGAGTTCCCGGTGCTGGCCGGCGATGGCGGTAACAATAGAAGGGATCTCCTGGTTAACCACCCCTGATTTTTATCCGGGAACCATCGGCCAAAAAGATGTGAAACCCCTTCTCCTTTGGTTGGAGGGGAATACCCTGCTGGTGAGCAAAATTGATATCCACAAAACAGCTGCATGCCCCCGAATCAACTATGGCCGTCACCTCCACGGTCCTTTCTGAAAGCTGAAAGGAGAGGGGCACAACTAAGTATTGGGACAGACTCATATTGCCAATAGATAAGGAAGACGAGGTGAACTTACTCAGTTTCTGCGGGCAGGATTGTACCATGTGACCAGCTTCACCACAGTAGAGGCACAGGTTCTGGGAGCGTCTGCGCTGGCGTTCCTCTGGAGATAGCTTAGGCCGTGCCAGGCCTAGCTGCATGGGTTCGGGAGCATCTTCAGACGGCAGGTTCTGGATGTTTGGCCTAGTTGTTTGACTGGACCCTTGGAATGACCCCCAGGTATTTCCGCGACCCTGACCAGACCTCTCCAACCTGCGTTCCCGTAGTCTACGGTCAATTTTAATGGTTAGTGCAATCAAGTCCTCTAATGTCTCGGGCACCTCCACCCGGGCGAGCTCATCTTTCAGGGCCTCTGACAGGCCCATACGGAACTGATGCAATAGTGCAAACTCGTTCCAGCGTGTGTCCCCCATCCAACGCCTAAAATCAGAGGCGTATTCCTCTGCCGCTCGACGGCCTTGTCGGAGCGTGTATAATGTGGCTTCGGCCGAGGCTGCCCATTGTGGATCATCGTATAAGATGGCCATAGCGTTAAAAAATTGTCAACCGAAACAAGATGTGGGTCATTGTTTCCCCTTAGTCGGTGGGCCCAGTCTTGGGGTTCACCCTGCAACAGGGAGATGACAAACCCCACCTTCACTGATTCCGTCAGAAAGGTCCATGGTTGCAGTTCAAAATAGAGCAGGCAGGAGTCATGGAACGACCGGAAGCGTGTGCGGTCCCCGTGGAAGCGCTCTGGTAAGGGTACTCGGGGTTCCGCCACAGGGAGTGGTGCGGAAGGCCCGGGAGCTGGCTCATGGGCTGCTACGGCCGGGGGTGCAGGAGCCGGGGCCTGTGAAACAGGGACATGTATGGTGCAGGCCTGGAACCGGTTTTCAATCTGCAAACATCTGTCCTGTAACACGTTTACAGCTTGCGTCAGGGTAGCCAGGTGTGTGCAAACTTCCTCCATCGGGGAGGGTCCTCCTCGAGGCTCAGTCATGGCCTTCTGGTACTGTAACGGACCGCCTAGCGACACCACTAGCACTCCACTGGTCAGGTGTCCCCAGAGCGTGGAATCTAAGCCCCAGAGTACTTGTTCACCAGGGCCCCTGATGGTGGGGATGGACTTGGAGTACCCCGAGACCAGGTCGTGACTACTGAGTACACCCGTCAGTGGTAGGGGTTGTTCGCCAGGGGCTCCAACAGGGGAGAGCCTGATATGAGGAGGTCGGGTGACCCCGATGGGATGGATGGATGGCTGAGTAAGTGCAAAGTCAGACAGGCCGAGTCGGTAACAGAGAGGACGGTACGGTACAACACAGCGGGCAGAGAATAGTCGGGTCACACGCCAGGTCAGCAACAGCAGGTCAGATCTAATGGGGGGCATTCAGAAGAGAGGTCAGGCAAAGCAAGGGTCTGGGCAGGAAAAATCAGCAGGTCAAGAACAATCCGGGTCAACAACTTACTAGGTACAGGTTTGCAGGATACAGGATGCAGGTAAGACCAGAAGGCACTGAATGACAGCTCAGGGCCATTTAAATATCCTGCCCTGCGCTGTCTTGGTGCCCACGCACACGCCCGCGGTGCCTACTGCGCATGCGCGAACTCACTCGCCGCGGTTGGCCAGGTCTCAGTGCCCGCATTCCGACACATGGCGGTGCACTGCGCCTGTGCCAAGCCCATCGCGGCGGTGATCCCTGACACTTGCATCCAAAGACAATGACCAGTCCATGAGCTTGGTTTTGTTGTTTTATTAGGGGAAATCAGCTTGTATAAGGAATAGGGATTATGGGATACTGGATTAAGCCCTGTGTTGTCCTTAGAAAGCTTGCTACATGTGGCAGTCTTTCTCTTTGCAGATCCCAGTGTGTGCTGCTATACTTACACTGTCCTCTTTGCTCCCTGCTGCTCCAAGTCTCGATCCAATTCACACCTCACCACTGAATGTATCCTTCCAAGCCAGCCTGAACCCAGTCTGGAGGCCGCACCCCACCCCCAACCTAGGGGACACCCCCTAGGCACTGACAGTCTCCTCGGTACTCCATCTTCCACCTGACTCTCCTATATTTATGCGCCAGTCCACCACTCCACCAGGGCCTCCAAACGTGGGATTGGCCAGACTGCCATAAACATACAGACTAGGTCTCCACCCCTTCCCATCAACCGATCACTGGAAGGCTCCATGGACCTCCACAGTCTGGAGTAGGCGACAGAGCCACAATCTGCTGACCTGCAACAACGCAGCCTCAACCACATACCCACACAACCACCATGAGTCATGCACAATGATTTTACCTATAGTCCACTACACTATACTAGTATCACACTAGAGGGTGCTACATATACTTACCTTTCTTGCTTAGGGATCTAGAGACCAACTATTTCATGTGCCGAATGATATACCAGATCAGTATGATTTATGTGCAACATTAATACCAACAGTTTCCAAACAGGTGATTAGAACTTTCCAGATTTGATCACTGATAAAAAGGAAAGGTGCATGTGCCAGAATATATACAGTATATAAAATATATATATATATATATGTGTAGTAAGTGTACGTATGAATGTATATTAACATTTTTCCTCTTCCTTTGGCAGTAACAGTAAGAAGCACCAGGGATTTTATGGGCTTTTTCCTTCAAGCTCGTAGAGTATTGAATGACCAAGTTGCTGGATCCTTTGTGTTTATTCCACCTGGCTCTAAGCTACTGCGCTGCTTTGAAGATGGAGACACAGTGACCCATTCAGACAAGTCCTTGAAAAGAAATCTGTCTTTTGTGTGGAAGTCACCCGATCAGCCAGTTGGAGACATTAAGTTCTTGTGAGCGTTGCTAAAACACTCTGAGTTTAGGAAATGCTTTCCTGTAGTTTTCAGGCATCTAAAAATAATTTAGTCCCCAGTGAAGATAGTATTTGTTCATATTTTTCACATTTTGTTGGCAAAACATTAATAACAATGTGTTCACTTTATATAATTTTGTTCTAAAGGTGATGATTTTTTATTTTATTTGTGCAGAAATACAGTATGTTAGATGGGTTTGCAAATTGCACTTTGCAGTAAACCCATTTTACATATTTGAAATATTTAAAATAATGAATGTACAACAAACTACATTTTATCTAGAAAAACTATATTACTAGCAAGATTATCTACAGTGAAAAGTGAGGCCATTATCAGGGCTGACTGTGGGCCAGTGCCTATGGCAGCAGGCCAATGGGGTAGCAGCAAGCCTCAACATTTACAAATTGTTATACGTTTTTATTATTTTGCTTCCCTCTTTTCTACACCTCTGGACATTTCTGGTTAAGTTAGGCTACATAACTGTAGGGGAAAGGGGATTATTTCCTTCTTTTGTTTGGTGGTCTCTGTGTGTGTGTGTGTGTGTGTGTGTGTGTGTGTGTGTGTGTGTGTGTGTGTGTGTGTGCGCTTAATTGGGTGAGCTGCATCCAAACCAGCTGTGATGGGTGGCAAAAGATATCTGGCCTAGGTAATAACAAAAAAATTGTACTACTAGGGACACCTTTAACCCCTTACCAGTGCCACCTCCTGGCCCTTTAAGAGGCTCTGAATGCCAAGAGGTGGAGTAGGGCATTCCGATCATGTGACCGCTGCAATTGGCAGTCACAGCGATCACATGATTGGAAAGCTCCTGATCACAAGTATGCATCGGGAGCTTTCAGGTCCCTGCCGGTAACTGTGTTGGGAGCGTGTAGAGTGTGTTTTCTCAGCACAAAAAACTGTTTATATATGGCCGCATATATGCGTACCTCCGGAGGGAAGACGTTAATCATACATGATGTATTAAAGTGTTACTAAACCCACAAAAGTAAAATCAGTCTGTATGTAAAGCATGCTTGTTATACTCACTGTGGAACCTAAGGGGTTAATCCTTCAAATTGTGTAAAAAGGCTGTTTGATCCTGTCTTCTCTGATCCTCAGCTTCTTCTACTGTCCCCAATCCATCTGCTGATAGTACAGAGCCTTGGGGGGCAAGCTGCACATGCTCAGTTTGGTGTTTATTGCTAGAGACTTTTTTTTCTTGGGAGGGTGCATGTGTTTAGCCAATCAGCACTATCCAGACATAGGGTCAGGGGTTATGCAGCCTCATAGGACAATCAGGGGAGAATGAAAACTATTACAAGATTAACCAGTGCTCAGCTGGACACTGATAGAAGTCACAATACTGCTGACGAGAAAAGGTATTTAGCAGTTTACATTTACTAAAATAATTGCATTTCCATGTTCAGTGTATTGTGGGAGACCAGATATAATGAATGCTGGGTCCTGGGTTTAGTAACGCTTTAAATAAACACACATATAAATAATTCTAATATCAATCAGTGTTCAGGTGCTCAAAAACAGTCTACAAGAGTGCACAAGGTGTTTTAAAGCTCCAGAAGAAGTTCCCAGAAATCCAATAGAAATAGGAGTGAGGTTGAAACCTTACCAGAACCTATGGTTGTCAGTTAAATGAGAATCCGAAAACGCTTTAGGGATATACCCCAAACATGCCAGCAGTGGATAGTTCAATCCCACCAATGCCTCCGGCTTCACTCCATATAAAATAAATCAGAATCAATGATCCATAAGCTGCAGCACTTGTAATTTGTAATGTAATCCTTCCAGCCAGCAGCCGCTGTGTATAATGACGTCATGTTAGGTACCACCCAACACATTTGTCATACGTTTGATGTTACTCCACACTAACGTTGATGGCAAACCTATGAGGAAACACGTCAAATGGTAACTAATGTGATGCCATCACGCATAGCACCCGCCGGCCAGAAGGATTACATAGTGGACATTACAAGTGCTGCATAGTATGGACTATAGCAAAGGAGTGGCGGTGGACGTGGTATACTTTGATTTTGCAAAAGTGTTTGACACAGTTCCCCACACACGGCTAATGTGTAAGGTAAAGTCTACAGGCTTGGAAAAAAATCAGTTTGTAAATGGATAGAAAACTGGCTAAAAGATCGTATTCAGAGAGTAGTGGTTACTGATTCATACTTTGAATGGTCCAGGGTTGTTAGTGGTGTACCCCAAGGTTCAGTGTTAGGACCCTTACTTTTCAATATATTTAAAAATAATATAGAGTCGGAGATTAAAAGTACAATTTCAGTCTTTGCAGATGACACCAAGCTGTGCAGTGGAATAACGTCCTTACAGGATGTCTCCAACTTACAAGCCGACCTGGGTGTTCTAGTAGATCATAGACCTAATAATTACATGCAATGCCAAGCTGTGGTTTTGAAAGCAAGTAAACTCCTTTTTTGTATTCAAAGAGGTATAGACTGCTGTAGAGAGAGAGAGACATAAGTTTGCCCCTGTACAAATCATTAGTAATACCTCATCTGGAATATGCAGTTCAATTTTGGGCACCAATTCACCAAAACTGGAGAAAGTACAGAGAAGGGCAACCAAACTGATAAGAGGCATGGAGGAGATCAGCTATGAGGAAAGATTAGAGGAACTGAATTTATTCTCTCTTGAGAATAGGAAATTAACCCCTTGACGTCAACGTCAAACAAATATGTGGCCTCACAGAACTGGGTTTTTTTTTGTGAGGCCGCATATTTGCGTATCGGTCTTTGTGCTGCGAGCACACCAGCACAAAGACCAGGGTGTCACTGAGAGTCCCGGGTCCGATCGGGACCCGGGACTCCCGATTCCAGGTCACATGATCGCTGTGATAGCCTCTGATTGGCTATCACAATGTTCACTGTGAAGCCCGCCCCCTTGTTTTTTTTTCCCCTCTGAATGGAGGAGAGAGATACATTGTATCACTCTCTCTCCTTGCATAGAGAAAAAAAAAACAACTGTTTGTAAAGAAAAAAGATTGAATAAATAAATATTAAAAAAATAAAATAAAAAATAAAATACCTAGCTCAAGGTTTGATCTAGTTCAGTGCCAGGGTTAGTGTTTGGGTCAAGGTCAGAGCCAAAGGTCAAGGTCAAAGGTACAGATTTAAAAAAAAATGGTGTCAGTGTGTTTTAGGTAAAAAAAAACACAAAATCAAAATGCACACTATTGTTTCTGGGCTGTAGTACAGGTACAAACAACAAATAACATACACATATATAGTATCTCTGAGATTATCAAGACCTGGAGAATTTATTTTGGGTTGCTCTTTGGTGGTAGGTTATAGTAGTAACAAGAAACACACAGCTAAATTAAAAAAAAAAATATTTTTTTGTAACTATTTTGGGCCAGGTTTCCTTTGATAAAAAAAAAAAATCAGGAGATATCCATTACCATTTACCACCAAATAAAAGCCCAATTTGTCCTGAAAAAAAACAAGGTATAATTCACCAGGATGTACAATGTAGTTGTGATGATATGTACGGTTTTACTAACACATGTTAAAGTTGCAAAATTGTGTTTAGGTGTTAAGATTATGGATCGTGCTTTACTGGGTTTTTTTCTTTGCCTCCCTCTGGATCAACTGTGGGTAAAGGATTGTGTATATGGAGGTTTTTTTGTGTGTGTGTTTTGTTTTTTATTTCTCATTGGGTTGAACTGGATGGCTTTGTGTCTTTATTCAACATGACTAACTATTTAACTATGTTTAGCTGGTAAGACGGATTCGATTCTTGTTTTTCACCTCTGTATTTAGCTGTTGAATTAATCTAAGCATTTAGATTTCCTAGTTCTAAATATCAGAAGACATAACGCATAGTGTGTGTGTATGGTAGGCATGAAATACACATACTCCACCCAAGAATACATTTTTTCTTTTATAAATTATTTTTTACATCATACAGGTCATTTGTCTGCAAAAGAACTGACAGAATTACTATTGTTGTTCCTCTCCTTAACAGTGTTTCGGTAGTTCAGTCATACTTTGTTTACTGGGCACGGATTGAGTCTGCTATTGTGTCTGGTCACATGCTGAAGATGACTTCAGAGACTTCAGAAATCTCAGATATGGAAACAAGTTCGGTTCATGGTAAGTTAATGTGCCAAGTCAGTAAACTCAACTATATCATTATACATACATTTACATTTCATAGCAATATCTAAATCAATGCGTTATATTAGATTCACTTCTGACAATATTTCTTTGTATTGTATGATATTAATTTATTTTATATCTGATCATGAATTATACTTTTGCTAATAAAATATAGAAGCTACTTTAACTTATATATAGAATGCAAAAACAAGTTACAACAGTAGTTTTTTGTTAACCAGATAAACTAAAGAACACCTCTCTTACACTATATCCACTCAAAATAAAATACATATAAATGTAACAAAAGTCCAAGTGAGTCCTATAGGTAAATGTGGTGCTTGGTGTTCTGTACATTCCATGTGCTCCAAAGATTAAAAAGTGCATGCTCCACTTCACCATGTCCAAAAAAACAACACTCTGCCCTCACCAAACTGAGTCCACCTCTAGTGAAAATAAGAAAGTCAAATAGCACTCGATGATGTAAGGTAGATCATTGGATCAGGAAGGATGCCAGGAACACTACGCAATCAATCAAAGGAAATACCAAGGAAAGCAATTTTTTACTGTCACGCAAACCGATACCACCATGCTTCTTTAAGTCTTTGTCCTAATATTCTCTTTTTCTTTTTACTCTGGCTGTCCCTGCACCCTCTGTATCGCTTTCTCTTTCCTCTCTGGGTGACCAATGGGGAAAATCAAGCTAGTGTCCCCCCAAATGCTGCTCCAAATACAGTTATGTATATGTGAGTTCAATTACTAAAATCCCATATAAACGTTAACATGCTATTATAATTTCAAAAGTTATTTTTCATATAATTAAAAAGTTATTTCATCCTTGCCAAATGCTTCCCTATGCATTACAGCTTCTTCAGTACATTAACATGCACCATTTTGTAAAAGGATGCTTACTTTTTATGCTGCTTATTCAATTGCCATCCCCTCGCTCTCCTGCGGATGGCAGAAGGTACTGAGTATACCTCGATGGATGGCCCTTCATTCTCTTACTTAACATAATGCCCATATTGACTGGTCAGTCATCTCCCATCTCTACATGGGTCTATACCCTCTTGCCTCTAAACAAATATTACAGCAAATGAGTACTTCATATAACCCAGTAACAGCAGTACTCTTCCTTTTCTTATCTATATCAATCCAATGGACAGTGGACAACAACATATTATACTGTACAACCAACAGTCAATACAGTTCGATTAAGGGGTGTAAAATAGGTACCCCTTGTCCCTAAATTGCCTTACTGATCAAGGAAATCTGATAACTCAAACATAAGCAAAGGGCTTACCTCACCGGCTGAGTATCAGAAATTCACAAAACGTCTCAATCTCCTGGATTCGGATCATCAGGGTCTCCTGTACATCCCTCCTGGCTGGCTCGCCAACTGCTTTGGGAATTTTATAGACACTTCTAATCCTCATATTGATTAGTGGTTCCAATTTAATAATAACTACTGGAAAGTGCTGTGTAAACTGTTGCTGCTATATAAATCCTGCATTAATAATAATAACTACTACTGCAGTAAGTAACAGACAAAAAAGATACACACAGAAACTTTCCAAATTCCTGTTCAGCACAATTGAAGTTTTTTTATGCACATATTTACATAGGTATCACATTAATATTAAAACTGTACTTTTTTGGTAACAAGGGGCAATACATAGACAGGCTAATGTCTTATTAGGACTAGAAAGAATGAAAATACATAATCAAAACATTATTAGTGCCTTGTGCACAACGAGTGCAGTGTGTAGCACATAAGCAAAGCATTACAAAATGGAATACATTTTTATACAGAATTTATCATTTCTTTCACACCTACCCACACATGTGCAGTCCTCTCTCACAGGTCAGTCCTCAAGAGTGAACTGCGCATCCAATGCTCAGTACCTTCTGCCATCTGCAGGACAAGGAGGGGAGGGCAATGGAATAAGTAGTGTAAAAATTTGTTTGCTCATGCTACCACTTTAGTTGGACTCAGGATACCAACGGGACAGCTAATGAGCAGGAAGTTCAACATTTAGCTGAGTGGTGTACAGAAATGATTTATTTAATACTGCAAAAACTGTGGATTATGGGAGTTCAAGAAAAATCAATAATTATCCGATATGTATAGACGGTGAAGAGGTGGAAAGGGTGGACTTTATTAAATGTGTGGGTGTGCATATTACAAAGAAGTTGTGATTGTCTCAAACTACTTGTTTCCTAGTGAAAAAAGCAGCACAGCAGAGATTGTTTTTCCTACAAGATTGAATGAGGCTGGATTGCTCCATGGCTTCTGGTCAATTTCTATTGCTGCATCATTAAGAGTGTTCTACTCCAATGTGCTGTAGTCTGATATGTCAGCTGCAGGACGGCGTACAAGAAGTGCCTGTCTTGTGTGATGAAACCAGGACAGCGGATCATAGGTACAGATCTACCAAATTTGGATACAGCATATGGCAGATGATTAAAAAAGAGGACCAAGTAGTGATCCAGTCAATAGTAGTGATCCAGGTTACAGTGTGTTTGCCCAATTGTTATCAGGGAAAAGATATAGTACTTTTAAAATGCACAGTAATCATTTATAGTTTTTTTTCCCTAGGGCTCTATTGTCTATAAACCCACCAGGTGCAGAGATTTAAGAATTTTATGTTATTTACTGTTTTTGAAAATTCAGCTCCTATTGACTTCAGTGGGGTTGGGATTTGGCACCCAAACTTCTAGTTTACCAATCTCACCTATGACAGAAACTGAGTGTGTTCCACTCATCCATATTCCTGGTCTGTTATATAATATAACAAGTTAATTATACTGTTATGCTTGTAACTCTTCTACTATGTGTTGTAAATACTAATTTAAATTAAAAAAAGGAAAATGAGTTGTATTTGAGTTAAAGACAACTAAGCAAAAGACCTGCTCCAGGGACATTGAAGCCATAATGTGGCCTTGTCACATGACCGAACTGTGAATATCTATAATGATTCAAAAGTGTTATAGTCATCACCTGTTTAGACATATGTTAACCTATTGGTTTGAAACCCCTGCGCGGGCAAACAGTTGCATTGTATTGTTCTGCGTTTCAATAAAAATATTGACACAGAAAGACAAGTAAGCAAAAGAAGTAAGCAAAAGTACAAGTTTATATTGTATTCACAATAATTTATTTTGCCATCAGGTATTTATTGATATTACTATACCATTCTTTCAACAGAATCAAGAAGTTCTAGCCCATCTCCTTATACAGGGATGCCATTTTTCAATCAGTTCAGCTAAGACCAAGCCACCAGAAACTTTGCTCCACACGATTTCAGGAAAAGGCAAACATACTCTGTCTGATGTCCAATCTAGCAGTACGGCATCAACATCTGTGGTGACGTCCACCAGAAAAGTTCCTGCATCTATAAAAGACTCATCTTTTCAATTTTCTGTATCAACAGCTCCTCACACTTTATCATCACAGAACAGGACATTAAATCACAGCACCGGCAGCAGGTGGGGGGTATATAGTAACCTGCAAAGAGCTATATCAAGCTACATCACTTTCAGCAAACTAAGCATAAAAGATGTAGTCACTTGACCTATATTTCCTATTATTTAATAATCACCCAAAACATTCTGTATTTAGTTTTGTATTTTTTTTTTGTTTTATTTTGGGTGTTTCAGATATGCATTGTTGTCCATGAACCTGCTAGGGAGCTCTCCAATTACCACTACTAACTAGACAGCCAGTTTCTCGTAAAAAATCACTTTCCTCTTCCCTCGAAAATATGGGAAGGCAGAGAGTCCTCCCAACACCATGTCACCTTATTAGGCATGGGTGTAGATGGCTGTTTAGGAGACCAGCTGACTTTTCTAGAATTGGGCTGTAGGTTTGCCAAGTGCTGCATGGTACTTTGTACAAGTGCTATGAAGACAAGGATGCCAGCTATGGGGTAGGTGAGGTCATTTTGTCACAGGACATGCTTTGATACAATCACTGAGCGACAGCCAAAATCTGTTTCTGATTTTTGTATGATTTGTCTCACTCAGAGCAATACTTTTTTGCTGAGTTCTTTGATTCGCACTGCATTCTTGCAAACAGTGTTCACAAACTGCAGCATCAGTGATCTGTATTGTATGACAGGCAGGAGCCACTGTAATTGTTTTTTTTGCCTTGTGGTCTTGTAGAGTAGATATCCTTTTATCCACCTGTCCTTCTGACCACTTTATCAGTATAGATACTACAGACTATACATACCTATACTAAATGTTATGTCATATACAGGTATTAGAGTACAATAATTTCCTAATAGTGGTCTTTTTAAAGCAGAAGTTTAATCAGCAATGTAAATTATCCCAAATGGAAGATCATCTTTTGTTTTCTCACCCTGTGATGTAATTTCCTTTAAAAATATCCCAAAGAGGCACTCCCTGCAAGTCTGTAGCAAAGTTGTTTGAAATGTGCAGGGGGCTTGGTCCCAATATCTCAAATATGCTTTCATTTGCTCTTCATTTTGCCAGGGTGACATCCCACCAGCAGTGATTGTTCTCCCCATGCCTGCATAGATGGAGGAATGATGCAAGCATTGCAAATGAAGTGGGCTTTGGTAGCCTTATGCACTATTGGGCAGGAAGTAAAAAAGAAAGTGCTAATAGGGAGACCTGTAGGACAGCCCCCTTGAATAGCTCTGAAGATCCTGCACAGCTGCAGTTTTTTTTCTTTCTATCCTGATACCAAAGTTACTGGACACCGGTAGATGGATGAAGCTATCCCCACATGTGCCCACAAAGGTTGAGCCTTTCCCAGTTTGATGGCTCAGGTGTCATTCCCAAAAGGATGTTACTGTATGTTGGGCACTCACTGGCAAGAAACTTGGATTCTGACAGAAGCTGACGCACTGTTATGGCAGCCCATAACAGTTTCTCCTATTTGTTTTAGTTTTGTTTTCCCACTCTTTACCCTCTGGACCACTAAGTTGAGTCCCATAGGGGTCACTTGAGTCTCCAGAGAAGAAAGTGTGCCTCTTGGATCTCCTGGATGTAACCTCACTACACAGTGCTGGAGAGGTGATTCCAGCACTGTCTCAAGAGGAAGAATCAGGGTTTTAGTCAACTCCTGGTACAAAACATTTTGGAAGATACAGGCCAGTCTGAACCTCAAGTTACTCAATCTCTACATATGGTTAAAGTCTTTCAAAATTAAAGAAAATTCCGATGATGTTCCCAGTAAGCACTTAAGTAAGGAGCTTCTGTCCATAGACCTTTAAATTCAGACACTAATCTTTCTGCAACATCAGAGGCTTCTACATTTTTGTTTTCTGAATCAGCAATCCTTCTGGGATTATGACCACCCCAGAAACTTTCACAAAATTTGCCCTGACAGCCTTCATTCAACAAACAGGAGTCCAACTCTATCAAAACTTAGATGATCTCCAGATGGTTGGAATGTGAAGGAACATAATAGTAGTCTACTGAGATTGGGCGCTTTAGTACCTAATGAGATTCAATTGGCTTATCAATGCCAAAAAGAGCCAGCTAGAGTTAAAGCTGAACTCCAGGAATTCAGCCACTTTGTAAAATGTGCCAGATTATTAAGGGTTAAGTTCAACAAGGTGCATGCCACCTTGTGGACTTATCTCTTTTAAGTACAATTTGTATTTTTACTGAGAGCCAGGAAAACAGTTATCTCTGTAGTTCAGACGCTCAGATGTTGGGTCTGCTGCTCTCGGCTACTGCAGCTGCTGTGCCTCCCCTTCCCCTTCCCCCTCCTCCTGCCCAATCACAGAGCACTTTGTATTATGTGAACTCATTCACAAAATACAAAGGGTTTTGTGAATAACAGCAGAGGGGGAGGGGCAGGCAGATATTCTGCTGTATGGGGGAGCAGTGTCTTTTTCTGTCAGAGCTGTACACGCTAATTAGAGAGAAGCTGAGAGCTAAACTGGAAGTATTGTGCTATCTGAGGCTAAATAGCATTATTGCACCTTAGTTATCTTTGACTCATTTAGTATGCTTTTGTATTTATGTAAGTGGATGAGTGGTTATCTAGTTATATGCTGTTATTTCCTACTGTGCTTTAATCATCAGGGGTTTGCTTTTTAAAATTATTGATTAATATACAGGATTTATATAGCGCCAACAGTTTGCAATATCATTGGTGGAAGAAGAAGTCACAGCGACTGGGACTCTCTAAGGGAATTAACCCTTCATTTATTTTAATTAAGACAATGTTGTCTTGTTTTATAGTTATTCCTATGGTGAAGGAATGTGGTTTTGACAGTTAACGGGAAGGGTTATACGTTATTGTGAATTTTTGTATTTTGATATCTCAATAAAGAATTAGAAATTGTCTTAACATTTTTCCCCCTCTTGTGTCTACATGTTGAATTAATTAGCTGGTACACGTTTCGTGGGTGCTATATACGGCTGTGTCCCTGAGGTGCTTTCCTAGGGGTTGTTTTTTTCATTCTCTTCTGTCAGAGCCCTGGGAGTGTAGCAGTAGCTGTACTCCCAGAGTTTCAAAAAATGTTCAGATATAATTTAAGAGATAAGTCCACAAGGTGGCATGTACCTCCTTGGACCTAACTCATAGTATGCCAGCAGATTTTACAAAGTGGCTGAATTCGAGAGTTCAGCTTTAATAAAATAATCTTGTGTATCTATGGTTTACAATTCAATACAACTGCAGGGATATTGTTCCTCTGGAGAAAGTTATGAAATTTGTTAGAAAATTGAAAGATTGTGTCCTGGGGGCATATTGTCTTTACCAGTTGGCACATGGGAGATGGTCATTTCTTCCAAGTATATCCCCCAATGTTCTTGATATGAGAGCCACTTTCTTGTTCAGAATTTTCAGCCACTTCTGGAAGGGAACCAAACCAAATTGCAACTGGAAAATACCTTCAGTTATATACATTAACCATTAAGGGGAGATCCACTGACCAAATCTTCTTGCGCAATCATCGTTGATTTTCCAGTGGGCTAAGGGACACTTAGTCAATCATTTGGAGTTCCACATTCCAGGGTTGATCTACACAATAGTGTATTTTTTGAGCCGTAAGTTTCCAGATGTGAAATAATAGTCAATGAACATGAAATATTTTGCTCTACATCTTCCATGATTTGGGTTTTCTAGTTGTGGATCTAATGGCATCCAATCAAAATGATCATATTGCCACTCTATTTTTTTAGTTCATACAATCTTCAGTCCTTAGGGATGGATGTGTTGGCAGATGCGGTCCTTTCCTGTTTACATCTTTCTTCCAGTGCCTCTGATCTGGAGAGTGCTTCAAAAAATTTAACTGAAGAAGATGGAAGTAATGCAAATATGACAATTTGATCTTGCAGACCAAGGCTTATATTGTTGCGGAAGATGAAGATATTGGACACATGGTCTCTTTCCATTGCAAAAGACCTTTTCATCCAGGGACAATTTGTGCACCTCTTACCAGAGATGCCAAGATTGGTAGCTTGGAGATTGAGAGGGAGAACCTAAAAGCTCAGATTCTTTTGGATTCCTTAATATCTACAAACTTCACCTACTGTAAGGTATGGGAAAAGTCTATCAAATACACAGGTGAAAATAAAGTGAATTTATTCAAGACACCAGTTTTGTACTTTGTCAACTAAAAGTCCAGATCTCAGCACTCTCCTTACTACAGTGCAAGAGATGAGCGATGGAGCCTCTGTTGTTTCAGTTTTTTAAAGGCACTGTTGAAATTAAACAAAAACAGAACTTTACAAAACTGGACCTTTTAATGGTTCTGAAGAGCTTTATAGGACCACCTTTTGAGCCATTGGCCAATTTATGGTATCTCACCTTGAAAATAATTTTTATAATTGTTGAGACTTTGGCTAGCTAGGTTTCTGAACTTTGGACTCTAAATCAGAGAGTCTTTTTGTGTAGCCTACGAAGATATACTGTTGTTCTGAAATGGTCCTCAGATTTTCTTCTAAATGTCTTGTCAAAATTAGATTGGATAGGGAATACTCTTTTCCACTATTTTTCACTGATCCTGAAACAGAAGAGGAGCAAAGGTGGCACAGGCTGGATTTGAGTCAACTCATCTTAAGATAACTGAAGAGGATGGCTTCAATTTGAAAGTTGGATAAACTCTTTATTCTGCCAGTAGGCAGGTGAGAACCATTGCATTAGGGTTCTTGGTGTGGATCTTCTGATGGTTCTTATGGCACGTTTTACGAGGGGTGTTTGGCAAGATTTTGGGCATCAGCAGCAGGAGTTCTAACAGATTTTATAAGCAGAGCAGCTAGTTGGCCTCCACAGACCGCATTTATCAGCCATTGCAAGCTGGATAAGACAGCAGATTCCCATAGCAATTTTGGAGCTAAAGTCTTATGTACTGTCACTGCTTATGTTTAAGTAAAGTATTTTTCTTCAACAGAATTCATCCATGTTTTGTATTCTTGCTATGTAGGTCTCAAATTCCTATCAAATACTTACCAAAATGTTCTTTTCCTGGAGCCTCACCATGTCAGCTCTGTCACCCAACCTATGGAATATGTTACCAGAATGTCAGCTGCGCAAAAGGATAAGAGCTCGATAGAAATTTAAGGGGGCTCTCCTAAGGGTCTTGGAGTAGAGCTTAACCAATTTGTGGTTATACATTTTAGTACATACAGTATAGTATTACCTAAACTAATAATACGTGTTGCAGTGAATAATAATTCATATAATTCCAAGCCTAAAAAAGTTGTCTGTGCCATTTTTAAAGGAAAATTGGTTACTAGCGGTACTATGGCGAGAGAAATAAAAATACTTATTGGTTGGTATAGGCCAGAAATAGTGAGAAAAAGAAAAATACTTTTTAGTTACTATGGAGAAAAACTTTGAGAAAAAGAAAAGTGCTGATTGGTTGATATAGGTATATACAGCAGAAGAAAGTTAAAAAAAATGTACTGCTATAGGGAAAATGTTGACTGTTTGCTCTGGACAACACAGGTTTTTTTTATGGACAACACTGAAACACTTCTCTAAGTCTGTGGATTCATAAACACTTCTTTAAGTCTGTGGATTCATGCATGTGATTTAAAAAAAAAAACCTATATACTGTATGTCTCTATATGTGCAGTACAGCTAAACTTATATACCTGAATGATTTATCAGCTGCTGTGAAAAAACACTTAGAACAAAAATAAGAAAATCACTAAAACCCCCTAAAAATAATGCTAGCCAACTGCAGTGAAACACAAATCATATAGTGCACAAAGAAGAAAAAAAGTAATAATTAAAGGAGAAGTACAGCCAAAGCATGTTTGGCTGTACTTCTGTGGATCAGTTCGTTCTGCACTCCTGTAACCTGTTTTTTTACCCGACAGCAGGGTAAAGTCTGCTTTCAGGCTGACGTCACTCAGCTCGTCAGACCTATAATGATCAGTGACTGAATGAACAGTTCTCCTTTTGAAAATATTCCTTGAATGTTCTTGAAAATGAATGACAATGAAATGCCTCAACACATGTAGCATGATTTGTTGTGCATTACATTAACACGTGCATTACCCTAATGTAGACCTTATTGTTTTCCTGCTGTGTTGTTCCAAGAAAACAATCAGCATTTTCTTTTTCCTCACCGATTCTTCATAGCAATAATTCCCCTTACTGTGTTCCCTATAGCAACCAAATAGTATTTTCATTGGCACTTTTCCTTTTCTTTCATTTACTGTGTAGCTTATAGCAACCTCTTAGTAATTTTCTTTCAATTGCTGTTTCTTGTAGTAACCAATTCACACGATTATTACGTGGGCATAATAAAAAAAAAATGTAGTTGCATGACTTCATCTGCCTATGTATGTGATTATTCTACCACCTTTCTTTTGTTCCCTGCAAGATCTGGAATTTTAGCAGGAGCGCAGAATGTCTGGATCATTTGCCTTATATGTACATTATATAACAAAATCTAATAATGATCAGTCTGCAAATAGCTTGAGGCAACTTACAGGTAGCTTGTTCCATTAAATATTACAGAGTAATTTGGTTTACCGCACACGGGGTTCCAGGTTTTGGAAGATACTTGTGCATCTAAAGAGATGCTTTAGGTGCAATGTTTATTACTATGAAACTAAAATGTATTATTTGACCATAGCAAAGGCAGGACCATGTGCCAAGCTCATTTTAAAAGATTTTTCCAGTTTTCTGGATGCTATTTTCCACAGAACAAGAGCAGACAATTTTGTTATATATATATATATATATATATATATATATATATATATATATATATATATAAAAATATATTTTGCCTGCAGGGATCATCGTGAGTTTCACTTTGTGAATATAGCAACTGTGCGCATAGGATTCTTTATATGGAGGTTTTCTATTTTTTTTCTATGTTATTTTCAGTAGTTTAACCAGATGGTTTTGTGTCTTTTTTCAACCTGCCTAACTATGGGTGGGATTTACTAAAACTGAAGGGTGCAAAATATGGGGCAGCTCTGCATAGAAACCAATCAGCTTCCAGTTTTTATTGCCAAAGCTTAACCACTTGACCTCCTGAGGATTTACCCCCCTTAATGACCAGGCCTCTTTTTGCTACTCGGCGCTGCACTAATTCAATTGATAATTGCGCAGTCATGCAATGCTGCACCCAAACGAAATTTACGTCCTTTTTTTCACACAAATAGAGCTTTCTTTCGGTGGTATTTGATCACCTGTGCGCTTTTTATTTTTCACGCTATAAAAAAAAAAATTGACAAAAATTTTGAAGAAAAACAATATTTTTTACTTTCAGCTATAAAAAAAATATATAGTAAACTTAAAGTTGGTTATAAATTTAGGCCAAAATGTATTCTGCTGCATGTTTTTGGTAAAAAAAAAATCCCAAAAAGTGTATATTGATTGCTTTGTGTGAAAGTTATAGCGTCTACAAACTATGGTATAGATACTGCAATTTACACCATTTTTTTGCTATACAGCGCTGCGCTAGTTTAACAGACAATTGTGCCGTCATGCAATAAATTAAATTTACATCCTTTTTTTTTCCCCACAAATTGAGCTTTCTTTCGGTGGTATTTGATTGCCTGTGCGGTTTTTATTTTTTGCACTATAAAAAAAAAAGGCTGACAATTTTGAGGAAAAAAAACAAAATTTTGTAATAAATTTAAAAATCAAATTTAGCCATAAATTTCTGCCAAAATGCATTCTGCGACATGTCTTTGCTAAAAAAAAAAACCCAATACGTGTAAATTAATTGGTTTATGTGAAAGTTATAGCGTTAACAAATGGCGGGAAAGATACTGGGATTTTTAGGTTTTTTTTATACTAATAATGGCGGCGATCAGTGACTTATGGCGGGACTGCGGCGGACATTCTGACATTGGGGGTACTGACTTGGGGTCACTGGGGCATCCCCAGTGACACCAATACAGTGATCAGTGCAAAAAAAAAAACACTGACACTGTACTAATGGCACTTGGGAGGAAGGGGTTAAGTTTATTATTCAGGGAAAGGGTTAACTGTGTGAGGGGAGTGTTTTACTAGGGGGCGGGGGTGTGTACTGCAGGGAACACCGCTGATCGGGAGAGAGAAACTCTTCTGTCCCGATCAGCGTGTCCTGGAGCGGTCAGGGAACTGACAGAAAGCACAGCTACTGCAGCTGTGCTCTCTGTCAGCGATTGCAGCCGATCGCCGGGACATAGCTGGTAATGACCGGCTGTGACCCGGCGACTGACATCCGCGGCTGTGATCGGCGGGACAGGTAGGGAGGCGGCGCGCCTCGCGCGTGCCCCCTACCTGTTTACAAAACACACGTTTTAAAACATGCTTTTTTGCCCAGCCGTGCCACCCTGCCGCCATATTTATGCAGTGGCTGGGCAACATGTGGTTAATTGAACAAGTTGAAGTTAGAATCTGATTGGTTGCCATGCACAGCTGCACCAGATTCTGAGTGCTCCAGTTTTAATAAATCAACACCTGTGTCTTTCTGACCCATAAAGTCTATGTGGTTCTATTGCACATGTGTGGACATCAGGTAATGAAGCTGGCAGGAGATATGTAAACACTAGCCTCAGTGCCAAGGTTTTGGTTAGTATAGAGGTTTGGCCTCAGAAAGATGGGGAAAGAGGGTAAGAAAACTTTGGAACTTTCCTTATCCTTTAAATAAAATGTCATTTGTAGCATGAAAAGCCTTGGTAATTGCTTGCAACAATTCAGCACATTTTAGCATGGCTACCACTTCATTTGTATTACCAGCCTCAGAGAAACATACGAGTAAATGGAAGAACATTATTAAATTTTATCTTTGCATATGCATGTGCCAACTGGGCTACTATCTGAGCATACCTGAGTTAAATAAATGCCTGAAGACTTAATATTTTGTGAGGTATAAAGGACCTTAGCAACCTGCAGTCTTCGTATGACTTAATTACCTTTGTGATAACGTTTGGACATAGAAAACTCTTTGGTTGCTTCAGTCATTGTACAGTTTTGTATTTGTTGCCTTAGGAACCAGTATGGTCTTCAAGGACCTTCACCAACCTTGTGTCCTTCTTGTCAAGATGAAAGTGAGGTAAGATCACAGGAACTAGCAACACCATATACAGTATCTCTTGTATGTGACAATACTAGACAAAGGTATTTGGACTGATATTTGCTATTATTTTATGAATTATGGGTAATTAGCAAAGACTGATCCACTTGGAAAAGTGCTCCTGTTCCTAAAATGAATATACATACTCCTATAGAAAGGGTGCCAAATGAATAGATCTAATGTAAGTAGATTATTTGTTTTTTTTTCTCAAAAGATTATATCCAGATTTATGTTATTTGTGTACAAAAATATATAGAAAGTACTAAATATTGCATGTTTTTGTCATATGTGTCACACGTTTGCAATACTGATCACATAAATGTTGAATATACAGTATATAAATGTATACTTTGTGTGTGTGTATGTATATATATATATACACATCCATGATTTTGGGCATTTATGAGAGCGGAAGAGCAGGTGTGAGGGAAAAATCTGATTGCTACCTCATAACTCAAACTGCCAGTTATCTGACAAAAACTATATAAATATATATATATATATACTGTATATACACACAGTATCTCACAGAAGTGAGTACACCCCTCACATTTATGTAAATATTTTATTATATCTTTTCATGTAACAACACTGAAGAAATGACACTTTGCTACAATGTAAAGTAGTGTGTGTACAGCTCAAAATAACTGAACACACAGCCATTAATGTCTAAACCACTGGCAACAAAAGTGAGTACACCCCTAGGAGAAAATCTCCAAATTGAGCCCAATTAGCCATTTTCCCTCCCCGGTGTCATGTGACTCAATAGTGTTACAAGGTATCAGGTGTATTAAATGTGGTGTTAATGCTCTCACTCTCTCATACTGGTCACTGGAAGTTCAACATGGCACCTCATGGCAAAGAACTCTCTGAAGATTTGAAAAAAAGAATTGTTGCTCTACATAAAGATGGCCTAGGCTATAAGAAGATTGCCAAGGCCCTGAAACTGAGCTGTTTCATTTATAATACAAATAACAACTTAGTACTGGTAAAGGACTGTCCCAGACCCTTCTTTTTGCTAATTTGTTATGTATTTTTGTATTTAACTTTTGTAAACTTGTAAACTTTCAATAAAAATGTAGTGAACCAGAAAATAATGAACATCAATATGAAATAATATAATACTCTTAGGGTGTTGGTCAACTGGGTGGGGAGGTGTAAAATCAAGCAGCTGAGCTGTGGTTTTAAACACCTTTGGCTGCCCACCTAATCCTAATATTACAGCCTGATAGGGTTGTACAACATGTTGCAGCTGTGATGCGCTGCATTGGGGCCATGGCATTTTTTTTTAAATTTTGGGCTTCAGAGTGTGACGAGTGCCACTGCTTCTCAAACTTGCACATTGAGATCAATGGGGATGTCCCGCAAGTCCGCAACCACGAGCAAAACACTTAGTTTCAGTTGCGGCATGGTTCAGCAATGTACAATTGCTGTTCGGCAAAGGAAAAAAAAAAATCTGGAGGCGTCATTTCCAACTCCTGTGGAGCGCTTCTCTACCACCAGTACCGCAGTAAGCACTGCCGCTTATTTGAAAGAAATCTTAGACAAAACAGTACACCTTTACAAACATTGCATAGTCATTGTCAAATGAGTTTTCATACACCGATTTGCACCTGGTGTACTTTATGGAAGATTTTCTACTATAGAAATGGAAAACATGCTTTTGTTAATTTGGAGCAAAAGATGCAACACTTTTAGAAACCGGCACACTATTTCAACTATTTAGCTAAGTGCACGAGAAGCACCCATTCTCTCAGATATGGTTCTTGGTTTATTCATTTGGCATACACCATTCCATCCTAGTTTCTGCACATACATTCTGGTGCATTTATGAAGGTTTATTCCCCCAAATTGTACCTATATCCAGAAACAGAAAAGTGAGCAATTTACTGTCCAGAAAATGTCTAAAACAAATATTTTTACATTATTTTTCAGATGGTGTTTTCTTACATTAGATTGTCTTCACCAACATCCTCTTTGCCTCCTGATTTACTTTCTGGGTTTCCTATCTCAGCTTCACCAACCCAAGATACACAGACGGATCCCACTGAGTTCACTTTCCAAGAGTCACAAAGCCACTTATTGCTTCCATCAACAACAGGAGAGCAAAGACACAAACCCACCAATGAGGTGGAGGCAAATTTTTTGCAGCAACCAGAATCTGCATCATCTGGCAAAACTTTTGAGGTTGAGGAAAGTACTTCTCTACTGGTGACAAAGACTGTTCAGGAAACTGGCATTCATGGTAAAGGTGGCGAAAAGGGCCAAGGGATGCATCTGGCCATGACACAGCTGGGAATCCTTCTGGGTTGCTCTGTAGTTCTGGGGATGTCCCTAGCTGCCGGTCTGCGCTGCATCCATGCCCAATACTGTCATAAGCGGACAGAAGTGTCCTTTAGCGAACCAGATGATAATGTCATTACACTGAGGGAAAATGGGGAAATGATGCATTTCAAAAAGATCCGAGAGAACAGTTTTGTGCTGGTTCAAGCTGAGTACAACTGGATTACTCCGGCACTAAGCCCAAAAACACAGTAGTGCCCTTTTTTTCTATAATAGTCATTACTAAATAGATATTTGAGCTTTCTATTATGTTATAGAAGACTAAACTGTGCTTTTATGTCTGCTTTACGCCATGCCACTTCAGTTAGAAAAATATTTTTATTTGATTAGAGTACAATGTGTGCACTCCTCTTAATGTTTCATCTATGGAGATAACAGAATAGGCACTTCTCAGTTGTGACGTGTTTGTATGAACAAGTAAAAATTAAGTGATTCCTTCTTCTACTTAGTTTCTTCTCTTATTTGGTGGGAAAGGGCTACATAGTCATGAAGATGAAGAGAAGAGGACATATTTGAAGTTCAGCCTACATGACAACCATGGCTCACTCCAGAGATGCAGTGGAGGAGTGAGTGTAGGCAATGAAGAACAGAATGTGTGTTATTTGCAGGGTTACCAGATAAAAAAATAAATAGAGAAAGCCTGGAAAAACGAATGCAGCCTCACCTCTAGCTGCACCCAGTTTACGACTGTAGCCTGTTCCCTGAGAAACATCCCCTACTATTCATGTGATCCTTATCAGCTTCTAATTGGGGTGGAGTTGAATGCTCATTTGAGCATCTCCCTATAAATTTAGATCAGCTCATGGGGGGAGATCACTGATGGGGGGCACAGTCTCTGATGGGGGTGCTGCTTCTGATTGAGTGCTGCGTTGAAGGAGTGCGAAGCAGTTAAACACAGCAGTTGAACTAAAGCAGGAGAACTTAAGCAGCAGGAAGACACAACAACAGCAAGAAACTCTACTGCACGCTGGACAGACTGCAAGCATACACCCTGGGAAACCTCTCTTACATGCCTGAGTCCAACTCCGTGTACCTTTATATAATACACCCCCTCTTCTCCTTATCATATTACTATCCTCTGTTCCCAAATCTCATTTCTTTACCCCTCTGCTCCACCCCAAAACTTGTACATCTCCCGCTCATTGCTATCATCTCCCTACTACTGCTCTCATCACCTCCCCAAAATGCCTCTTCCACTCCTCCTTCTCATTTTCCTCTCCTCCGTTCCCAATATCCATTCACTATATCCCTCTGCCCCTCCCAAACATTTGTATATTGTGTCCTCACTACTTCCTTCGCCCCTCTACGGTACCCACCACCTCCTCCTATTGCTCCACTCTCCCACTGACCCGAACACCTCCACTAGTAGTTTCTCACGCTCCTGCACATCCCTCTCCCATGCCACCTTTCTCACCCTTCTCCTCCTACTAACCGCGGGAGACATCTCTCTGAATCCTGGCCCTCCACCACCTCCCTCACCCGCACAACACCCTCCCGCCTCCACGTCCTGCCGCAACCCCCGTAACTTAGTATCTGTCCCCCTGCTCCCTAAAATCTCCCCCCCGTTTTCATGTGCACTCTTGAATGCCCGATCGGTGTGCAACAAGCTTACCACCATCCACGACCTCTTTGTTTTTCCCTCAACCTCCTAGCGATCACAGAAACCTGGATCCAGCCCACTGACTCTACCTCCCCTGCTGCACTCTCCTACGGAGGTCTCACCTGGACCCATTCACCCAGGCCTAACGGGCGTAAAGGTGGTGGGGTTGGTCTGCTCCTGTCGCCACAGAGCACCTTCCGAGTCCTCCCAAACCCCCCCTCTCTATCCTTCTCCTCCTTCGAGGCCCACTGCGTCCGACTATTCTCCCCAACCTCCCTGAAGATTGCTGTGATATACCAGCCTCCTGGATCCATATCCCACTTCCTGGATGACTTTTCCTCCTTCTTCCTCTCCTCTGAGCTACCCACCATCATCCTTGGGGATTTCAACATCCCTGTCAACCTCGACAACCCAGACACATCCCATCTCCTCCACTTAACCTCCTCCTTTGCACTTGCACAGTGCATACAATCCACCACCCACTCCAACGGTAATATCCTTAATCTCGTCTTCTCCAACCGCTGCGCTCCCCACAACCTCACTAACACCCCCTTCCCTCTCTCTGACCACAACCTGATTACCTTCTCTATCTCCTCGTCCTCCAACGCCTACCCCTCCAAATGTCACACTACTACCAGCCATAACCTCCGCAACCTTAACCCTGCCCCCCTCCACTCTGCAGCTGATCAACTCCACGACAGCATCCTCCCCCTGTCCTGCCCCGACTTGGCTATGACTGCCTACAACAACGCGCTGTCAACAGCCCTTGACTAACTAGCGCCTTTAACCACACGCAACATCAGACCCCGACCTCTCCAGCCCTGGCAGACTGATCACACCAAAACCCCCAAACGACGCAATCATGCCCTGGAGCGACTATGGCGCAAAACCAAATCCCAACAAGCCTTCACCCACTACAAATCTGCCTTCCACACCTACACCTCCTCCCTCCACGCAGCCAAACAAGCCTACTTCCTGACCCTCATCAAGACCCTCTCCTCCAATCCTCGCCGACTCTTCTCCACCTTCAACTCTCTACTCTCTCCACCCCCACCTCCACCCAGCACCTCACTCACCGCCCTTGAGATTGCCAATCACTTCAAAAACAAGATTGACACAATTCGCAAGGACATCGCCGCAACTCACACGCCCTCTCAACCCATCCCCTCTCACACAGCTACCCCCTCATCCCCCCCTCTCCCTCGACATAACCCGCAGGGACTTCGTCACTGCTCAAATTCTCTCCAACCCCGTTCCCCCTCACTCAACTACCCCCTCATCACCCCTCTCCCACGGCCCCACCACTGCTCTGACCCCCACTTCCACCCCACCCTACATTCCTCATACTGAAGCCCCCCCAACACTCCGCACCTTTGACCTTACTACCATCAAGGAAGTCTCCAAGATCCTCTCTGATGCCCGCCTCACCACCTGCCCCCTCAACCCTATCCCCTCACAACTCCTACGACCTCCCTCCCGCTCCATCCTACGCTCCCTCACCCACATCTTCAATCTCTCCCTCTCCTCGGCACTTTCCCCTCCCCTCTGAAACATGCACACATCACCCCCATACTTAAAAAGCCCTCCCTGGACCCCAATGACCCGAACAACCTCAGACCCATCTCCCTGCTCCCATTTTCATCTAAACTCCTCGAGCGCCTAGTCTACACCCGCCTAAGCTCTCACCTCAATGACAACAACCTCCTCAATGCCCTACAGTCTGGCTTCCGTCCCCTACACTCCACCGAAACTGCCTTACTCAAACTCTCCAATGACTTGCTAACCGCCAAAGCTAATGGCCATTATTCAGTGCTCCTACTCCTTGACCTCTCTGCGGCCTTCGACACAGTCGACCACCCCCTCCTCCTCAAAAAACTACACTCCCTCAGCCTCAGAGATTCTGCTCTCTCCTGTCTCTCATCCTACCTGTCACAACGCTCTTTCAGCGTTACCTATAATGCTACCACCTCCCCCTCACTCCCCCTCTCTGTTGGGGTCCCTCAAGGCTCTGTCCTCGGGCCCCTTCTCTTCTCCATCTACACCTCCTCCCTTGGCCAACTCATACACTCTCACGGCTTCAACTACCACCTCTATGCCGACGACACACAAATCTATCTCTCAACCCCCCACCTCACCCCCTCAGTCTCCGCCCGAATCACACACCTACTGAGCGACATATCAGACTGGATGTCGCTCCACTTCCTTAAACTGAACCTCTCCAAAACCGAGTTTCTTGTCTTCCCCCCAGCCCGGACACCATCCCCCATTGACTTCTCTGTCACATCCAACAACGCCACTATCAAACCCGACCCACAGGCCAGAGTACTTGGTGTCATTCTGGACTCCAACCTATCCTTCCAGCCCCAAGTCCAATCTTTAACAAACTCGTGCAGACTCCACCTCCGCAACATCGCCAAAATCCGCACGTTCCTAACCCCAGAAACCACTAAACAGCTCATCCACTCCCTTATCATATCACGACTCGACTACTGCAACTCCCTCCTCACTGGCCTGCCTCGCCGCTGGCTATCCCCGCTTCAGTCCATCCTGAATACGGCTGCCAGACTCATTCACCTTTCCAACCGCTCCATCTCCTCCACCCCCCTCTGCCAATCCCTCCACTGGCTTCCGATTGCGCAACGGATCAAATTCAAAATCCTAACACTGACGTACAAAGCTGTCCACCATACTGCCCCGTACTACATCACTGACCTAATATCCAAGTACCGCCCAGCACGCACACTCCGCTCCTCACAAGACCTCCTTCTCTCTAGTTCCCTGGTCTCCTCCTCCCATGCCCGCCTCCAGGACTTCTCCAGGGTGTCACCCATCCTCTGGAACTCCCTGCCCCAACCCATCAGATTATCACCTACTCTCCTCTCCTTTAGGCGCACCCTGAAAACCCATCTCTTCAGGGAAGCCTACCCCACCCCCTGCTACCCTGCCGACCTCCTCCACTCTTCCTACCACTCCATCCCCCACAGCTATCTCCTCCTGTACCACTATCCCCTCCCTCCTAGATTGTAAGCTCGAAAGAGCAGGGCCCTCAATCCCTTCATGTTTTGCATTGTATTGGTATTGTTCTGTCACATGTTCTGTCCCCCTTTGTAATGTACAGCGCTGAGCGAACCATTGGCACTTTATAAATACTGTATAATACTAATAATAATAATAATACTTTAAGCATTTTGTTTTTGGCAGTATACTTTTCAGTATTGGCAGAGCTTACCCCTGAGTATACTGCAGAAAAGCTTGTCTACTGTCAGCAACTGTAGAGTAGCTCCCTTGCTATCTGTGGAGATGCAGTAGTCTCTCTGCAGAGGTCCTGCTTAGTCAGATATAGAGCTCTCCAATTAGTGGGGAGCATGGGCATTGCTGATTGCAGAGCTATAAGTCAGACTGAGTAAAGGTCTTGTTGGATGTCTGCAATGAGACCACGTTCCCCAAAAAGAACAGGGGTCCAACTTTGCAGCTGGCAGGGGAAACACTTTTCTACTCATGCTTTGGCTGCTTTAGAGAAAAA